ATATATGTATATATATATATGAAAAAACAAACAAAAATCTTAATATGCAATTATGCTGTATTAATGTTAATATAAAGTCGACGTCGGACGTTTCGGTTTATTTAAGACCATCTTCATGGACATTTTCATTTAAACATAATTAACATTAGAACATATAAAAATTTAACACAAAAAGACGATGGACATAAGAGCACAACTAATCCAAACAGATAACTGAAATTTTTATATAAGATCAGCGTTCCATTTAAATATGATCACATCGTCGTCACGTGGGCGATGTTGTGAAAACGTATTCGAAGATGATTTCCAAATATTAAAATATTAAAAAGTCGATTGAACTATTTTATATAAACAGTTCAAGAAATCCCTTCCGTTGATATAGGAATACGTAGAGATCAATAGGTTCTTATATCTTCATACAAAAATGAAGTCTTTCACGTTATACAAATCTAAATCCAAATATTTTAAAAATATATATATATATATATATATATATATATATATATATATATATAATATATATATATATATATTTCAATTAATTTATGCCAAATTAATAAAGATAACTTTTTTCTAATATTTCAAAAACCCAAATCAATTCACACAAAACCTTCAAAATGCTTTAAAAAACTGACCTGGAAAATCACTTAAATTTTCAACTGATCTGCGCCATCTAAACAAACTGGCGCCATATTTGTTTATCAGCGCGGTGATTTGATATATATAAATGAAGAGCCAGGCAAACCTACCGAGGTTTCACCAACGCTTTGCTTATTTTTTATTCATAAATAGATTTGCCATCGATCCGACTTATATGTATTGAGCACTTTGACCATTTATTTTTTCTTTAATGTTTTGGACCATTTTTTTTCTTTGGACTCTGAAAGTTTTGATTCTAGTCGGCTGTTTTCGTCTGAATTGCATGTTCTTAGTTCTTTCTTTTTATTCCTTATTTCTCCATGAGTATTGGTTTGTTCATTTACAAATCAAAACACCTAAACCTTTTGCCATGTTATAATTTCTTATATTTATAAGATTATTTTATTATATATGTATGATCCATATTTGATGTGTTTATTATTTTATGTGATTTTAGATAATAAAATGTCCTTATTTATTTAGTTACCTATTAAGTTTTTTTTCAAATTTCAGATTTAACGATTATTTAAAAAAAATTATATATATCTACTTCGGTGAACATTTGGTTGTTAATTTTGGTTTGTTCAAAAGTTTTTGTATTTTTGATATGTATTAAAATATCCCATTTTTATTATTTAAAATAGGACACTCATAATATTTTTATCGAGACTGAACATTAAAAAATTATATTTATTAATTTCTGCATACCAATCGATTATTTGAATGAGCTGATTTGAATAGATGTGGACAGATAGATAGATATGAAACCCTACTTTGCCGTATATATATATATTTATATATATTTATATATATATATAATATTTTTATATATATATCCTTTTTTTATTTTAACAAAGAAAATAAAAATTCTAATTTCTTTCTTTGAGCATTAATTTAAAAATGGTTCAATAATATTTCTTTCTAGAACAATGATTATTTGGCCCTAAACAATTTACTTGACAAAGAACTGAGTCAGGTTTGGCGTTTCGTCGCATTTTTAACTACAACTGGTGAGAAAGTTTTCACTTAGAAACAATTCTCTTAGTTTCATAACCATTTGGTAAGCTGGTCAGAGCTGGTTTAAGCTATCGTAGCATGTCAAACGAATTTGGAACAAGCTAGTAATAGCTGTTAAACTACCAGCGCAGGGTCGGAAAATTATACCGGCAATATATATATATATATATATATATATATATATATATACAAGCGTTTGTTTATATTTTTCTTATAACACTCGCAAACACACACACACACACACACACACACACATATATAAAAATATATATATATATATATATATATATATGAACAAATTTTAGATATATAGATAAATTTCAACAAACATAGATTTTCTTACCTAAATAATGTTTTTCAGATCCTATTAATATTAACAGGCGTACAAAGATTAAAGTGATAGCATTTAAAATACATAGATAATAAAAGATTTATATTTAATATTTTTTTGATATTTTTGAAATCGGGATTGATTTATTTATGGTTAGGTCATAAAAATCAATCTGGAGATTAATTGATGTTTGAAAATGACTGTCACAAAGAAATGATGGAAAAAAATATCAACATTGCATTTTTATTAAATATATTTGTTATTTTATCATTCTATTGATTTTTAAATCGCCCGTTAAAAAAAAAAAAATATTAAAATATTTTAAAAATTTTTCCAAAAAATGAATGAAGATTTCCTGTCGGTTCAATACCATCCTAAACTAAAACGAAATGATTTTTGATACGTCGTCTCAAGTCTGTGCACTCTCGAAGGTTCTTTTTCGATCTCACAATATATGGCCATTTTAGATGTTGTGACATTTGAGTTAACGACAATTATAACAGAGAATTTTAT